GAATCTAGGAGGTTTTGATAGCTTCTGTACCATATTATATTCATAAACACAATGATGTAAGCATCTAAAGCTGTGTGAACACACAAAATTCAAAAGGATAACCACTCAACATCACTTTTTTGAGTGTTTGTGATAAAAAATGACGTATAGGATGTGAGGGATTGCGTTTGGTGAACGAGTCAATGCAGTCAGCTGGCTTTCTTTAGAAAACTTTGAACCAATCTGACTGTATGATCTGGTTGATTTGTCTCTATAAAGTGCCTTGAGGTGATGTCTGTGAATTGGCTCTATATGAATAAACTGAGTTGAATTCAATATTTAATTTTTATGGTCAGACTTCATTTAAAACTAGTAAAATAATAAAATGTTTATGTTTGGTTACATGTATATTATATAATAAGAACTCTATGGTATATTGCGAGACTTATTAGTAATATTCTTACCATAAGACTTTAAATCAAAATCTTGTCGATAATAATATGAACATTAAACAATGTAAATAAGAGTATTTAAACATTACGTTACATTTATCACAGTGTAACAGGCCTTAAAGGTATAGTGGAGGATTTTCAGGAATAAAAAAAAAAGAATGCTTATTAAAGCGCTTATTAAACGCGTTTAAGAGCATGCATGAGCCCATTTCTCCTCGTGCACGCTCTGTTTAAAAGTTGCCTTTTGCATCACTCATACAAGCTTAGTTTCTAAAAGAAGATTTGCGATTTTTCCACCATGTCAGACTCACTACTGGTACGTGAAAATGGGGACGAACACGTAGGACGGCCTTACGTAAACATATCCCCAAAATGATTGACAATTAGGAGGACCACTTATTTTCATGATCCACGAGGGAAAAAAACATCCTCCACTCTACTTTTAAGTACCTAAATTATATATGGTTAATCCTAACTAAGCGCATAAAAAACATTTCCATTAATGATAATGATAATTAATGGTAAGAATAAGAATAAATCAGGTTTCTTACCTTAATTTCTAATGTAATTTTCTTTAAATTTAAGCATATTATTTCCGTTCCTGTAACAAATATACTTTCCTGTTAGATCTCATGCCTTCAGTAAAAGTGACCACATCTGTAAGTTGGACCGACCCCAGAGGGACCTCCAACCATCAGGCTACAACCTCAGTGAGTCTCACTCCAGCTATGTATTAAGGTTGTCTTTAATTTCAATGATTTTACTGTTTGCTTCTGTGACAATATTTGTTTGCTTTAAATGTGAACATATGGAATAAAAAGTGAGAAAGAAGGAAAAAAAACTGAACCTCACTCAACATAAAGATCAAAAGAGTCCAGGAAAGGGCGCTGAAAAGCAGAGGTGTTTCTGTACAGGCTTTTCTTTCTTAGACTTTAACATAAATATCTCTCATTGTCCGACTGGGATAATTTTGGATCTCTCAAATAAAGATATAAGCAAAGCTATGAAAAGAACCAACATTTGCAAAGTTAGAGTATTGTAAAGTAAAGGAAAACCAGAGCACTAATAAAAAGAAATAATGCAGTTATTGAAATTGGCATTGAGTTTTCCTCAATATCTTATTATTTTGCTTAAAATAATTGTGATTTTTTTCAAGTCTTGCTACAATGTTAGAATTCCTTCAACATAGGAAGTAAGCATAGAGAAATAAAAAATAAAACAAAATATTATGTTTTTTCTTTCAAGTGTCACTGTAAGGGCAGGGAATGAAAAAAGACTTTAAAGAAAAATGATGATAGCCGAAAAATTCACCTAAATTCAATACATTTTACTGACACACTGTATGATTGACCTAAAAGAAACATAAAGAAACAGATTTTATATGATAAATAAATCTTTTTATTGAGAACAATAAAAATATGTATATTCCATTAGGTTAATAAGAACTGAATGGATTAGAGTAATTCAGTTTGTAATTTATAACCAATGGGTGGTTTGCCCAGATGGCCAAAGGAATAACTGGGGATGTTGTTGTTCAAAATGTATACAACTGTAAAATAGCATTGGGGTTAAAATGTAATTTAAGCGGTGTGTTAAATTGATAACTGAATAAATGCATTTTTAAAATAACATTTCATTATTTAATTTATTAAGGGCACTTTTTAAAAATGCTTTTAGATATTTGATTGTGCATTTCATATTTCATAATATATTAAATATTTAAGTCATATTTTAGATTAATAAAAAAATAAACATCATATTTATAATTTTAACTTTATTTAAATTATTTAGTAGGACATTTATTTGACCCTGCATCTTATAATTTTATGGCATATGTAATATTTCAAATCTTCTTTTTTCATAAATAGTCACATCTCCATCTAATGATTTTATGTTGTATTCAATTCAGGATAAAATAACTTTTTTTAAATTTTAAATTGTATTTTGGCCCTCATATGGGGATGACAGCACAATGAATGTGAAAAGCATCTTGCTACCCCATACAGTATCTAGTGTGCTTTGTTCCCCTTCTACGGAATGAAGAGGCTGTCATTCATTTAAGCTGTAGTAACTGTCTTTAACCGCTAGATGGTGCTGTTACTCTCCAAAAGCTACAGTTTTAATGAAGGTCATTGGTTCTGTTATGTTTTTTCTTGTTCAATAAACTTTTAAGACCACCCTTCCTTCCTTCCTTCCTTCCTTCCTTCCTTCCTTCCTTCCTTCCTTCCTTCCTTCCTTCCTTCCTTCCTTCCTTCCTTCCTTCCTTCCTTCCTTCCTTCCTTCCTTCCTTCCTTCCTTCCTTCCTAAATCTCAACTGAACAGCCTCAGAAGTTAACTTTATTCTTTCTGTTTGCAGGAAAGAACACGGCAGAACAAGGATAGAAATAAAAATACCAGGGATATGCATGAGGTTGCTACCTAATAATAACACTAAAGGTAAGTTTTACATTTTTTTTATCATACCTGTATGCCTAATTTTAATGTCTTTGATCTGGAGGAAAGTGAAAGCAACCCTGGTTGCATCTTGGGGCTCCCAAGAAGCAGAGGCCCAAACTGTAACCTTGGTACGGTGAGAAGGACCAAATCCCTATTCACAGCTGGGATTTTTCCACAAGAGCAGGTAGCCAGTAGACACCTGACAAGCATTATTATAATCTTGTAATTGAGTTGAGATTGTTAGCAGCCTTGATATGTGCAAACATCTAAAATTTGTGATTTTGTATTTTTTGAAATAAAAAATTTTCAGCACTAGTGGGGAGAAAATGTAAAAAAATAAAACCTCTTACAAACATTTCAAATATTTCTACAGAGGTTTGTAAATTCAGTATTTGCAGCCTCCATTGCAGTTTCTTTATGAATTTAGCTCCTGACTTCTGTTAAATATGGAAGTATGTCCCCCTGAAAGCAGCTGCGCCTCAGAACTTCCCTACCGGTTCTTTACCTGGGAGCAAGGTATTTACTACTCTTAACTCAAACTGAGTATAACCATATAAAAAAAGGACTAGGACAGGTCAGGTCATTACAGGACAGAGAAATGGCTTGGAGTCGGCACAGCTTTGGGCTCAAAAACGTCAGCAGGCGTCCTGCAAAGATTGAGCAAAGATTGAGGCCCGAACAAGGTCATCTTCTCCTTCTTATACCTCATGAGTCCATGTTTTGCATCAGGTGGATGCTTAACTGTCCGTTACATCCATGCCCTGACCTTTATGCATCTTGCCTCTTTACCCCGGGATTACACATAGCTCTCCTTTATCAGTCCGGCTCCAATATGTGCCCATATCCTTTGTATTTGTAAAGACACGAAGGCTTTCCTGATTACCGTAGATCACCTCCGAACACACAGTGACATCCACCATGTGAAGGAAGGCCTTCTACTCTGTCTAATCTGGCTAACAAAGTAACAATGCACATGCTGTATAAAGATTAAACCTAACACTTCCTTTCTCCACACATCGCAGTGGATCAGCTGACTGTTTAGAGTAGGAGGATGTCAGGCTCCAAACAAACGTGTTTGAGGTCCTAACAGGGGCCTGGGTGCTTTGTCAGCGTGACATTATAGTCTGCAGATTCTCAATACGTCCTTTGTTCTCTCCACAGATCCGGGTAAAAGGCTTCAGTGGGACCCCATTCCACCTCCCATAAACCAAGGAATGCATATTCAGTGTGAAACTGGAGCGCATTCTGAGAAATGGCTCCTCATTAATGAAGAGAAAGCTCCACGAAGACCTGGCTTATTAGTTAATTCAATAAAAAATAAATAGAAAAAACACAATTAAATGCCTGTTTTTACCAGGGATTACTTCATAGTCAATGACAAAATGCAAGCAGAGGTGGGTAGAAAATCCAAAGATTTTACTCTCGTAAAAATTATAATTTTTGGTAATGGTAAAAAACATTTTCTTTACCCAGGTAAAATGAGATTAGCAGAGGAAGTTATGGCTCTATCGTTGTTTTTCCATATATCTTATGCATACAAGGATTTTTCTGTAATTTGCATTCTTTAGCCTGCAGATAAGCCCCCCTCCAAAAAAAAAAAAAAAAAAAAACACCTCTTCCTACTGTGTAAAGGTTACTGCACTTTTGAAGGGTTACAGAAATAATGTTAATATATGATACAACAGGGACAGAAATTTGACATTTCCTCCTCAAAGCAACAGCAAATGTATAATTGTGTTTGCTCCCAAAATAATGTTAGAAAATTGACTGATTACGATAGATAAAAAAATGAATTTGATCCTAAACTTGATTGATCTTAAAGGCAAATTAATTAAAATCAGGTTTACAATATTTGGTGCAGCTGATCTGATGTAATTAAATATTAGATATATCACTAATGGGTGGTTACTGTGGTTCCATACTCTATCGACTTTATTATTATTATGAATTAGAATTAAACTTATTTGTTTTGGTGCAAAAACAAGGCATTTTGGATTTGGATTGCTTTCATGATATCATTGTTGTTTAAATATGAAAAAATACATAGTAGATAATTCAAACTATTGTGGAAAAAAAAGGTCATGCCCCCTGGTCGCCGTACAGTTCCGGGTAAAAAACGTCAGAGGGGAACGTAACAACTGTCCGCGGTGACGTCACGCTCCGGCTCCCTCTGCTTTAGGGCACTTTGGACTGAAGAGGTGGACGAGTTCTCCCGAAAATCCCACGACGCGGACCGCTTCATTCCCTTTACAGCAGCCGGATAAAACGCAGGAAAATGGGCAACTGTCAAGTAGGCGCTTTTTATTCTGTTTTACTCTCTGAAAATGTTCTTATTTATCTCAGTTTTAATCTAAAATAAACGTTCACTCCTCAGCTTTTTTTCTTCTGGTACGTAACCTAGAGTGAGGGAGCTGATGTTAATGTAGAGAATGTGTATGTTACGTTTTTTACGTAAGTGCCTCGTCGCTCTGAGTGAGAAAAGAGGCATTTTCAGATTTAAAAGGACAGATTTGTCTTTAAGAATGAAACGTATCGAGCTACGCAGAGGAAATGGCCACTCCTCTGCGCAAAGCTTCAGGCACCGTTAGATGAGTCTGGGACAGTTTGAATTTATCCTCCATTTCCGTTTCTTCAAAAATATCTGTTAAAAATAAATACTGCACGTGCTATGACGCTATTATATAACATACAGGTGGTTAAATGTTGATAATTACCATATAAATCTTTATTTTGTGTATGTATAGTATTTATATATATCTGTTATTATGAAACTTAAACTTACTATGAGTTTTAAAATCATACTACGAAAGAGGATTAGGGCCACTGAAAAGATTTTTAAAAAGTTAACTGATTTTTACATTTTATTTCAGTGTAATATGAAAAAAAACTCAGAATTCTCACTTTAATCTTAGAATTCAGACTTTTTTCTTAGAATTCTGACTTTTTTCCCCATATATTAATTTGAAATAAAATTTAAAAATCAGTTAAATTTTTTAATGTCAGAATTCTGATATTAAAGTCTTAATTCAGACTTTTTTCTCAGAATTCTGACTTTAATTTCAGAATTCCGACTTTAATCTCAGAATCCTGACTTTTTCCCCATATTAAACTGAAATAAAATGTAAAAATCATTTAACTATTTATTATTTTTTCATTGGCTCTAATCCTCTTCCGTATCATACAAAGGCGGTTCTAGACGCATTTATCAGTGGAGCCAGGTTGGGTCAGTCTTCTTTTTTTAAAGGGGACACAGAGCAAAAGAGTATAATTATAGTTCACTAATTAATGTATAATGTGAGCCTAAAACCCTCTTAGGCTCTAGAAAAATAGATCTATCAGATAAAGATTGTGATCCTATCTCAATACATCTGAAGCTATTATCAATTAAACCTTTAAATGAAACCTTTAAAAAAAAAAAAAAAACATAAAATACATTAATTACAGGTTGTATGTTAATGTACAGTCATATAAAACTGGTTTGCTGTTGTGCCTTGAGTAGAGAGGCTAAAACAGGGGCCAGGACCAGTTCTACTGGGGCCCCTGTTGGCCCCTGTCTAGAACCATCCATGGAATAGTATATGTTGGTAATAATGTTTTACTTTTAGAGCAATGAATGATGAATATAAACCATAATAGTCATGACATGTGAAGTAATGATAATGATACATTGTCAAATTCAGGACAGTTATGAGAAATAAAGTTATAACTCAAGAATGAAAATATGAAATAATATTATGCTGTTGTAATCAGGAAAAATATCCAACAGACAAAAAGTCATGATTAGCAGGAGAAAGGACATCCATCTTCTGTTTATCTGTCTGGGTCACAGCGCCCTGGTCCCTATCTCCAGCAGTCTATGAGCTGATAGACGCAGATCACTCTGGACTGGTTGCTAGTCCATCACAGGGCAAAAATTGAATTACCAAAATCAAGCTAACAGTCATGATTGTTGGACTTTGAGGCAGCCAGAGTACCAAGAAAGAACCCATGCATGCACAGGGAGAACATTTAAACTGCATGCAGAAACCTAGACCAAGATTTTAACTCAGGACCCTCTTGTTGCATAGCAACAATTCTACAAACTATGGCACAATGCAGCCCAGAGAAAATTTTATCTTATATTTATCAAATACAGTTAAGCTTTGGAGAACGTTTTTGGATAGTCAGTTAGAATCATAACATAGAATATCACAATTATTGAGAATCTAATTCATAATTTTGTCACTTTTAACCATCATTTAGATGATTAAAAGTCTCAAAATGAAATCCAATAAGTTTAAAATAAGTACATATTGGTAACTGAGTTATTATTATGCGATGAAAGCAGAGTTCCAGGAAATTACCTTTTCCTCATAGAGTAATATTTAAAAGCAGCCTTTAGAGTTAAAATTAACTTAATAATATAAATACACGTGTTTAAATTTTACCAGCATAATAATTGTATCGTTGTTCATCTTATTATATATTTTTTCCACTTGAATTCTCCATTTACTTCCTCTGCCCCCAAGCCACTGTGGTGTTCTTTTCTCTGTGCTTTCCTATTACGTTTTTTAATTTACAGCTACTAAAGCGTGTGATATAAATCTACTCTCCTTACCCTGCCAAACTGAAAATTAAGTATCGATTAAAAATATCCCCTTATGAGATATCAGTTTTCATTTTTACAAACCTTATTAATTATTAAATCTTTTTTTTTAAAGCTAAAATTTCATCCTCTATTTTCAGTTTGGAGAAGAAAAAGGAAACCCTTCAGCATTTCTGTCTGCAGCCTTTAATTTGAAAAGCTCTTTGCCCCTGGTTGGCCTTTAAACTGCCTTTGTCACCTAGTGAGGTTTGGTTTAGGACTTTTGAACCTGATTTCCTCAAAGCAGAGCCTTAAACAAACCCCTCCTTCATCCAGCTGATTCATTCAGTCATAGATCTCCGCTTATCTGATGATTACTTTGATACAATCAGCATCTGTTGCATAACATCCTTATCATCTTCCTGCAGCCCACAGTTTTTCCCTATGAGGATTTCGACGTGGTGGCAGACATCAAGGCCATCCGGAAAGCCTGCAAAGGGTTGGGTAGGTTGGAGATATAAGAAATGTTTCTCTGAGCGATATTTTCTCACGTTCTGCTCCGTCACACAAACCTCAGCAGTGCTGCATCCCGCAGATGGGAGATTCTGTTCACAGGACAACTACTTCACAAAATTATAGTTTTAATTGAAAGACGGCAAGAAGAAAACCAATAGAGGTAGAAAAGGAATAAGCTGCATACATTTTATGGAAAGATGTTTTAGTCAGTGAGACCAAACCTTACAGAGACTTCCTGTGAAATTTACTACATTGCTGAAAAGTAAGACTACACATCATCCAGAACAGAAATCATCCTCACAGTGAAACATGGTGGTGGCAGAATCATGCTGTGAAGATTCCCTTTCTTTAACGGGCCCTGGAACACTCGTTTTGGTTAATAGTTGGAGCTTAAATGTATAGTGGAGGAGTTTCCCTAATTTTTGAAAAGGAACGCCCTCTCCGCTTTAAACAAAAAAAGCACATGCACAAACCTGTACCTGCTTGCGACACGGAACGCCTATCAAACGTGTGCGAGAGCATTCACGAGCCCATTTCTCCTCATTTACGCTCTGTTTAAAAGTTTATTTTTTTTCATCGCTCACACAAACTTACTTTCCAAAAGAAGATTTGCAAATTTTCCACTATGTCAGCCTCACCACCTGTAAGTGAAAATGTATTTACGGCAAGCAAACGTGTGAAAAAATATGCATAAAGCCAATCGTAATACAGATATTGTGAATGCAAATATGTCTGTGTCTCTGTAGCTAAAAGTATCTTTATAGCTCAATTTAGCATGCTACAGTCCAATAAACAAGCTTTTGTGTTTTATTTTTGCCTGTGAATTTAGAGCTTTCAAGAGGAAAGTCTCTTTGGATCTTATATGGACTTCTTTTAGGGTATGCCATCGCGTTAAAGATTCTCCCAAAAACACCTTGGTCTTGTTTTCTCTCCTCTGAGGCCTTTCTTTTCTTCTCATACACGTTGTAGACACTCTTTCTCTTATGACCCTCTGCCATTTTCAAAGAACCACAGTGAGAAAGGTGATTTTCAATGATTGACCGAAACCGTAGCTCACCACAGATATACGCCTGAAAGTGCGCCTACGCAGAAAAATATAGCTAACGGGACGAACGCATAGGACTGCCTTACGTAAACATATCTCCAGAATGATTGACAATTAGGAGGACCTCTTATAGAGAAAACGGACATCCCCCCTACACCTTTAATGCAGGTTTTTCCTGGAACGATTGGTCTGAGATGGATTTTAACTGTCCAGCAGGAGAATAGAGCAAAACATGCAGCCAGAGCCACAGTAGAATGCTTTAAATAAACGTAGGTATTAGAACGGCCCAATCAAAAGCCTTGGATTTCAAACTGACAAAGGATCCGTGACAATAATTAGAGATGTAGTCGCAGGCGCCCTGTGGGATGGTTATACTCCCACAGCAGTGTGTCGTAGTGAGGTTGTCGGAGATATTTTAGATTTATGCCCAATTTTGAATCGTGGTCTGCGTTATGTTATTCCACGCCACAATGCAAAAGGGACAATCACAAACTAGCTGTGGGTCTAGATACGGCTAAGGCGGTGAGGACGTGGGGGCAAGAGCGGGGATGCAGGCGGAAAAAGGCTCCCAGCGTTCTCACGCACCTCGCTCTACTAGCTGGTCCATCTTTACGAGTTGTTTTCCACAATGGCCGGTAAGGGTACCAAACAGGAGATACCCATGAGTAGAGCGGCTCTAGAGTTAACCAATCAGAGGCCTCCTGTCTGTGGCACTGTCTGCGGGCACCTACAATTTGGGAGAGGTGCAGCAGAGTGTCTGCGGAAGTGGCGGGGGCATATTTGCGTTCACTGCAACACACAAGCAGACAACCTGGGTTCTGAGTATAAATCAGCCTTTAACTAGTAGATTTATTTATTCCCCACTAGGCCTGCAGCTGTAACTGCTGCAGATGAATTTCTGTACAATGTTAACCTAAAAGGGCTGCATTCAAACGCACGCCGCAATGCAGGTTTTTTATTCTCAAAAGAAATGGAAATAAACCCTTCACCTCACCTTTGTGCAGTACTTGGTCTGTACTATAAAATGGAAACTAAACAACTGTTTTGTTTTTTTAAATCTTTTTGCAGGAACCGATGAGCAGGCCATCATCGACATCCTGGCAAACCGCAGCTCAGCCCAGCGTCAGGAAATCAAAGCGGCCTATTTTGAAAAATATGACGACGTGAGTGCCGCCCTGTGTTGTTCCACAGCCTGCCTTAAATAGACAAAGACAATCCACCTGGTTTCTCTGTATTTCCTCAAAGTGAAGGATGGTTTTTGTTTTTGTGTGGCAGGAACTGGTCGATGTGTTGAAGAAAGAACTCTCGGGGAACTTTGAGAATGCCATCCTTGCCATGCTGGACCCACCCATCGTCTACGCCGTGAAGGAGCTCAGGAAGGCCATGAAAGGACCAGGAACTGATGAGGACATCCTGGTGGAAATCCTCTGCACCGCCACCAACGCTGTAAGTTACCAGGTCTAATTTCACAACAAACCGTCATCAAGATGGATGATTTATCAGGCAGAATTGTTTTAAACATTTTCTGCCTTCATTGTGTCCCATTTTGCTCAAGTAGAAATCTAAAGAATAAGAGCCCACATTTAATTTTGTTTCCTTTGTTTTATCAAAAATCATTTTCCCCACTTGGCTTAGATAGATGCAGAGGTTTTCTTTAAAATGAAAGTTGGTACAGCTTTTGTTTGTCTGGACATTTTGAGAGTTATTGCAACAGTTTGAATAGAATAATCATCACTGATTCAGTAAAACTGAGCTCACTCTCCTCCCATTCTGCAATAGAGAGCACAATCAGGTAAGTTTCCCTCCTCTCTTTTCGTCAGTTCAGGAGAAATGCCAGATTTCTTTCTACAATCTGTTTTTACGATCTGTTAACCTTTCTCCTGACTGATACTTTGGTGAGAAGCAGATTTTTTGGATCCCTTTTCAACCTCTCTGCAAACTCTTGGATGACCACAGCCAAGAGGTGCAGATCAGGAGAATGAAACATGAACAGCTGAGTTGTATTTCTGGTTCATCAGATTTACCCTAATTAATATCAAATGTCAGCTGAAGAAGGTTCAATACTGTAACTACATCAACAGATCCTTCAATAGACCTATAAACATTTCCACAGTTACAGTAGCAGCCATTGAAAATGGCCCTTCCCAGTCAAACGGCAGCCGGATGGCAGCCCACTTCCCTGCAACACCCAGAAGAATCACCTCCAACTTCCAGCCATTGGAATGACCCCCATGCATTACAGGGTCTGACCAGGAGATCAGCCAAGGGCCCATCAAGGAAATCGGGGACATTTTTAATGGCTACTACTGTATACAACCATGTTATTACTGGTGTAGTTTTTGGGTGGCATTGTATTTCCCCTTCTACGAGATTTATTTATTTATTCTTGTTAGACTTTGAAGGATATATTACATTTTTTAAGGTGAAACCTGCATTTTGACAGCTGATTTTGAACCTATAAGAACTGCAGTATTTAATGCCTGCAGGATAATACTTTGTTGAGCTGATCAGTTGTTCTTTACTGCCAACAGGACGTCGCCATGTTTAAGGAATGCTACTTTCAGGGTAAGTTTTGCTTTCTTATAAGTCACCATAATGATTTAATGCAGGTCAGGATTTCCAGTGACTGTATTGTGAGTTTAAAGAGGAAATGAGCTGGAGCGACTGATTTTGGCTGATCCTCAGCCTATTGTTGGGTTATACTCTGTTTATTCAAGGCCCATTCGGCTCCAGCTTCCCCTCTGACGTTAAAAAAAAACAAAACAAAAAAAACTGTTTAGGCTGAAGAAATAGCCTTTTTTGGAGGGGTTGGGACAGAAAGTTACTTGTTTATAGAAGTCATCTAATGATAAGGTGCAAAGCATCAACATCCCATAGCAGCCAGATAATTATAAGGATTTGCTTTGAAGAGCCTCTATTCCTCCATAGTCTCTCACTGTTCTCTTTTATTTCACAAAATGATAGAAGTTCCTCCTGAAACACTAGAAACTATATAATGAATGAAAATATTTGTCATTAATGATTAAGCTTTGCATGTTTATTATAGGTTTTAATACTTAGTGTTAGTTATGAGCCCTGCTTGGCCTGATTCCTTTTTACTCGTCCAGGTGACTTCATTCTTCATGTCTAATGCTTCTTGGGATACTTTTGTGTTTCAAACCTCTTTTTCATAAATGTCCGTTCTGAGTCACACCTTCTTTAGGTTGGAATTTTGGTTGAAATCAACCAATTTCTTCATTTTTCATTTAATCTTAAATTGGTCTTTGGTATAAATTCAAGTCTTAAACCCATCAAGGAGATTTCTGTAGCCACATCTGACCTGTGATGGTGATTTAAACTCATTGCTTGTCCTGCTAATGAACAGTAATACTAGATTAGATTGGAAACTCAGGTCCATGTCATGTAGTGTGACTTCATGCGCCATTTAATGACAGAGCAGACTACCCTGTGTTTTAAACAATCTTTAGTTCTTAAATTATAGGTTAGCGTAGCTAGCATTACAAAAACAGCATTCTTCCTCTGTATTTCCTAAACAATGCAGATCAATTCCTTATCCCAGAATTTATTTAAAGGATGCTAACATTTTTAAATGTGTCCCTTGACTTAAAATCTGAAAGCTCAAACTGGAAAAAAATGTAATAGCTTTAACTGTTCTATCTGATAAAAGGCTTTTTCATTCTCTGGAGAAACCACAGACATGTCCTGATATGTTGCAATAATAATAATAATACATTTTATTTAACAGCGCCTTTCTTGACACTCAAGGTCACTTTACAAATAATACAAAAAATAAATAAAAAGAGATGAAAATACAAAATACAGATACAGGAACATAAAAAACAGAGAACAAAAAACAATTATGGATAGGGAAAAGAGCAGTGTATTCACAGATAAGCGAGCTGGAACAGATGGGTTTTGAGTCTGGCTTTGAATAAGGGGAGAGAGTCAATACTGCGGAGGTCGGGAGGAAGTGAGTTCCAGAGCTGGGGAGCAGAGCGGCTGAAGGCTCTGCTCCCCATGGTGACAAGTCGAGCTGGAGGTACAGTGAGGTGGATGGAGGAGGAAGTACTATCTTACTTTTACGCTTCCTCAGACCCAATTGGTGTTTATTTAACACCTCACTGATGCTAGAAATAGCTAAGTCTGAGTCTTCTGTCCTTAGTTACAGCGTCTACACCAAGGAGGGTTGTAACTATGATCCAGCAATAGTTTGGCCTGGTGTCCAATGATGCAAGAAAGAGTTTCCAGTTTTTGATGTTTTACAATAATCAACTTTTCTCACAAACTAAAGGTTTTTCTCATCTCTAAGCCACAATCTTTATCAAAGTTACAGGAAATACACCCTAAATAGTCATCCAAACAAAATATATTTTACTTTTGCATGGGTTTAGTTTCTAAATTAGAGCTGGTTATTAATTATATATATAAAAAAAAAACATCAGGAAAACTTAATGACATAAAATACTACGTGTGTTTTTTAAGTGTTTATGTAACTCCTAGTGAAACCGTCAACTGTGTTGTGATATGTTTTTAGTGCATGAGCGCGATCTGGAGGCAGACATAGAGAGCGACACCAGCGGGGACGTTAGAAACCTTCTCATGGCTCTGCTGCAGGTAACTGCATGTAACTTAAATCCTTCCATCTGCCCTAGCAGTGAAAGTGAGCTCCCGCTGCCTGGGCCCCATCGTAACACACACACTGGCTCCTGTCCAGACACCCTCTGATTACTCTAACTGCAGAGCTCCTCTTCTTACAGGGAAACAGAGACGAAAGTTACGAGGTGGACGAGGAGCTGGCGGAACAAGATGCCACCGCCCTGTTCGAGGTGTTGCTTTCAACCTTTATGCTAACAGTTTTAACCCAGGTCAGCTCTAATAACCACTTGTCTTATGCAGGCCGGTGAAGGGTGCTTTGGAACGGATGAATCCACCTTCAGCTACGTCCTGGCCACCAGGAACTATCTGCAGCTTCAGGCCACCTTCAAGATATACGAGCAGGTGCTGGCAGCTGCAGGAACACGTCACAGATTATAAATCAGTTGCAGCGTCTCTTCCGTTAACCCATCAGTTCATTACTTCTTTTTGTGAAGGGTGTTCATAAATCCCTAAATAGATCTTTTTATACAGTAGCAGAAGCTCTCCCTAATGACACCAAAAAAACCCAGCGGTCAACGTGTTGATTTGATTAAATCGCTGGTTGCAGAAATTCTTGCACCTGGTTTAACCAGCAGGACAACATAAAGACTTTATATCAGAAATTCCCTTTTATGCTCACCAGATTTTTAATTGAACTATACCCTGGATTTCCTGGAAAGTCAGGGTACCCATGGCCTTTTTTAAGAGAATCAAACCCACAGGATGACAGCCTCAACCGTACTTTACAGTTGGCATTAGAGGCAGAAGTTTCTGCTTAGCCAGACCCACCTACATTACTTTAAGTCCAAAACCTATATACTGATTTTAGTTGAACAAAGCACACTGCTTCAAATGTGTGTTTAAATTTTATCAGCTCGGTTATAATTCCAGTAACGTTAGTCATGTTTGTGACTGGAGACAGCTCACACCTTTTTTTACTGGTGTGCCTTCTAAATAGCCTGTTACCTCTAGATGGCATTTAAACGTTGTTAGGGAGACTTGCTAACATCAAGATACCAAACTTTGCTTTCATATCCCCCAAAAATAGCTTTTATAGATTTTATTTTGCCTTCCTTACCATCCACCTCCCTGTGTGATTCTTGCATTCGCTATAAATTTAAGAAAATTAATGAGAGAAACTTTTCTTTTTGTATCCATAACTTATTTATCATCTTATCTAAATTAACTAATTTATTAACGTATCTAAAGATTAGCTAAATTAAAATTACATTTAGATACTCTTCGCTTTATTTAGAGAAGAGTAGCTTTGCTCTACTGAAAGGAAAGCTCAAGGCTGCATCCTAATTGCTTAAATAACTTTATTGAATCAAGACTGGATCCAGCATCCAAGAAGGCAGGCCATATTTATGAAATAGTAAACTTTGTTTGTGTGACCTCAATTATTTGGATTGTTTAATCAAATTAAATAAACTAGCTGTTGTATGTCAGCTAGTTTTTCAATGCAATGCGCAGTTGTTTGACTGGTGAGAACATTAGAAAAGCAACGGGCTTCAGGCCAAAGAGACACAGGGTGAAAGGAAGGCCAAGAGATCCCAACACTGGCATATTGTTCCTCTGCCTCACCTCATATTTACAGGAAGAAAAAACATTGATCGCTTTTATGAAATACATTCATTTTATTGGAATTTGTAGAGGTTAAAATATGTTAATCAGAAAAAACATTGTTTTTCCAACTAAATAGGTACACTTAGTGGGAGACTTTAAAATATTTACCATAACTTTAACACAGGTAGGAATAATTGGGATCAACATTGTTTGTTACTTTTTTTTTAACCAAACTGACTGAATTTTACACTATTTTCATTGTGTTGAAGCATACTGTAAACAGAAAGAGACTCTTTTGGTTCTGACAGATACAGTTTTCCCCTCATAGCTCTCCGGAACTGAAATTCTGGATGCTATTGAAAGCGAGACGTCTGGAACACTGAAAAAATGTTATATTGCTCTTGGTAAGAAAGAAACATCAGGGTTTGAATATGAAAAAAGTTCAGCAAAAGGTAAACCCGGTGGTAAACTAAGAATTTCTTTATCGTCTTGCAGTCAGAGTGGCTAAAAACCCACAGCTCTACTTCGCCAGACGTCTGCACAAAGCCATGAAAGGAGCAGGAACAGATGAAGACACGCTGATTCGGATCATTGTGTGCCGCTCTGAGGTAAATACTCTGATGACCAGCAGGTGGAGCCAAAGCTTCAGAGATGAAAGAAAAATCCTCTTCTTATTTTGGCCCCACAGAATAACCCTGTTTGTTTAAATTACAAGCAACCTTTTATTTGTTGGCAACAGATCTATTGGTGCTTTCTTAAAACAAATCATGGATCAGTTGAAATTGTTTCACCAAATTAAAGGTTTAAATGATGATTTGTGATCCCTACTTTTAAAACTAATACTTTAATGTAAAATAACTTGAAAATTAACTGGTAAATTGCCAAACCTCTTTAGAATGGCGAGGCTTTGCTGTTTTTAAATGGCAAAATGTAAAGGGAATAGAGATAATAACCCTCTGTTTTCTCAACAGTATGATTTGGAGACCATCAAAGACATGTACCTGGAGAAGTACGACGTGTCTCTGAAGGACGCCATTCGGGACGAGTGCAGTGGGGACTTCAAGCGCCTCCTGCTGGCCATTTGCCACTAGAGGCTGGAAATGTTTTCCACCTACCAGACTAAGTTTCCCCAGTCTGTTTAAGGCATTACAGGAGGAGCAGGAGGGTGCAGAGGTGATGGAGATCTTATCAATCCCTGCTAAATCCATAGTCCATGTTTCTGTTCATATGTCCCATCAGTATGTAGCACTCAATCTGATAAGAACCATTTCTTAGTCCAGAGTTTTAGTCCTATGTCCTAACCTTTGTAACAAATCTAAGATTTCTGTGTGTTTGACATAGATTTAAAAAAAACACTAACAAAACAGAAGGGTTTATGCCTTGATCATTTTGTAGCCTCATTGTGACCCCTTCTAAAACATAATTACATCTAGAAACAACTCTGCTAAATCTCCCCCCTGCTTTTTCACCCTCCTCCCCTGAAAGAGCTGTTATGCTCCTCTGCTGCTACAACTTATGCAATCAGTCTATGAGGAACAAAGTTAGTGGTTTTAGGTGAAGGATTGTGAAGGTTTGGTTGGATAATGAAGGAGTTTAATGGAAGAAGTCACTGAAATGCTTCCCCAGATTTTGTGTTTTTTAATGGTTGCTTGCTGAAAGAAATGACCATAATTTCCTCAACGCTTCATTTTTATTTTCCACGCTGAACTACGGTGCCCTGACAAATCTGAGTATGCCTCACTGAATTACACCTGATTATATCATTGTTTTAGATTGTATTACTAACAGAGAAAAGTATTAATATATATAGATATAATGGCAGAGGTGATTGTTTTAGGCAGTCCAGAGGTTATATATAGAGGTTATGTACTATGTTTAGATAATCTGAACTTTTAACACCAGACGTTTTTTTTTTATTGGTGTCTGTTTATGGCAGCTTAAAATTGTTAAACCAGTTTTTAACATTAATACACACTAAACATGTGAGATATTGATTACATAAACAATCTGTAGCCAAAGAATTTTAATCTAATAAAGCTTACTGTAGAGTCGTCCTGACTGCGTTTATTTTCTTTGTCAGTCTAGATTTCTGTGGTTTGTATGCATATGTGTCTCTATGAATAAGATAATTAAAAAATGTATTCAACTCTGTTTATTTATATAGCGCAAATTCACAACACATCATCTCAAGGCAAATTACAATTCACCCAGATCATACAGTCAAACTGATTCAGGTTTTTTATCTAAGGAAAATCAGTTGATTGCATCGACTCATTGACTCAAAAGCAATCCCTCACATCAAACATGCTTATAGCGACAGTTTTAACAGGAAGAAACATCCTGCAGATCCAGGCTCAGTGAGCGGCCATCTGCTGAGGACGACTGGAGTTCAAGGAGACAGAAGCAGAGATACAGAAAGAAGAAGAGATACAAAAGGCAACTGTAAACCAGCCCCACTGGTGGCCCTGTGCAGGAAACAGCCAGGCAGACGAGCTCCGAGCCAGCTCCCACATCAGAGTACAAAGAGAGCACATCCAGCCAGTCACAGTCAGGGAAACAGGACTACACTGAAAAATAGGCCTAGCTGAAACATCTATAAACAAAGGTGTTGATGGCAACAGCACAGCTGATATTTCTCTCCAGGATGGTGTCACAGCCAAACAGGAGCAGGCCAGATGAAGCTACCATAGAGATCGCTCAGAATAACCTGAGCCACTCTAACTATAAGCTTTATCAAAAAGGAAAGTTTTAGGCCTACCCTTAATTGAGATTTAAAAAAAAAGTGATTTATTGGGGGTGTTTGTGTTAATTTTGATCATTATTGCTTAGATCTTAAAAAAAGCCCTTTAAATAAATTTTTTTTTTATGAACGCGGATTTCCAGTACTGCATGCAGTAAGTAATGCAATTCTACCAGCAGATTATTAATCTATTAATAACTAGAACTATAAGTTATAGTTAAGTAATATGTCATGCATACCAAGGATAACACCAAGTCATGATTGTTAGTTTAATGATTAAAACTGACAATTTGCTCAATTAACAGACGTTATTAACGGCTTAACTAGAGGTTTTGGATTGGCTGTTTAAATTTAAGATGTCTTTTCCATCTTTATATGTCAATAAATTAGTTTATAATTCTAGCAGATTTACTGATCATTAACCACAAGAAAAATATTTTGTTGATTAAACGGAAATATCATGTTTAATAAACCATGCAAACACTACAAGCTATTAAAGTAGGCACAGAATACATGAAAGAATCAGTAAACATAAATAATTCAAATGATTTCTTGAGGTAGAGTCTTTGATAATATTCAGTTCATTAGTTCAGCTATTGTGATGCACTGGGGGGATGTCCATCAGATTAGCTATATAGATGATCTCTAACAAACACATTGGTAACAGTTTATGTACACTCACTGGCCACTTTGTTAGGTACACCTGTCCAACTGCTCGTTAACACTTAATTTCTAAGCAGCCAATCACATGGCGGCAACTCAGTGCATTTAGGCATGTAGACATGGTCAAGACAATCTCCTGCAGTTCAAACTGAGCATCAGTATGGGGAAGAAAGGTGATTTGAGTGACTTTGAACGTGGCATGATTGTTGGTGCCAGAAGGGCTGGTCTAAGTATTTCAGAAACTGCTGATCTACTGGGATTTTAACGCACGACCATCTCTAGGGTTTACAGAGAATGGTCCGAAAAAGAAAAAACATCCAGTGAGCGGCAGTTCTGTGGGCGGAAATGCCTTGTTGACGCCAGAGGTCAGAGGAGAATGGCCAGACTGGTTCGAGCTGATAGAAGGGCAACAGTGACTCAAATAACCACCCGTTACAACCAAGGTGGGCAGAAGAGCATCTCTGAACGCACAGTACGTCGAACTTTGAGGCAGATGGGCTACAGCAGCAGAAGACCACACCGGGTGCCACTCCTTTCAGCTAAGAACAGGAAACTGAGGCTACAATTTGCACAAGCTCATCGAAATTGAACAATAGAAGATTGGAAAAACGTTGCCTGGTCTGATGAGTCTCGATTTCTGCTGCGACATTCGGATGGTAGGGTCAGAATTTGGCGTCTACAACATGAAAGCATGGATCCATCCTGCCTTGTATCAACGGTTCAGGCTGGTGGTGGTGGTGTCATGGTGTGGGGAATATTTTCTTGGCACTCTTTGGGCCCCTTGGTACCAATTGAGCATCGTTGCAACGCCACAGCCTACCTGAGTATTGTTGCTGACCATGTCCATCCCTTTATGACCACAATGTACCCAACTTCTGATGGCTACTTTCAGCAGGATAATGCGCCATGTCATAAAGCTGGAATCATCTCAGACTGGTTTCTTGAACATGACAATGAGTTCACTGTACTCAAATGCCCTCCACAGTCACCAGATCTCAATCCAATAGAGCATCTTTGGGATGTGGTGGAACGGGAGATTCGCATCATGGATGTGCAGCCGACAAATCTGCGGCAACTGTGTGATGCCATCATGTCAATATGGACCAAACTCCCTGAGGAATGCTTCCAGCACCTTGTTGAATCTATGCCACGAAGAATTGAGGCAGTTCTGAAGGCAAAAGGGGGTCCAACCCGTTACTAGCATGGGGTAGCTAATAAAGTGACCAGTGAGTGTATTTTCAGAGCTATAGAGCTTGGTCACGTAACTCCGCCTCCATTGCACTGTGCCTGTGCCATCTTTCTTATTAGTACATATTGACAGTGGTCCGCTGTAACAACAAATCCCATAATGCTTTGTGAGGAGAGCTCTCCTCACAAAGGAGACCATGGATGACTACCTGCTCGTGACCATGGATGACCACTACTTTTCACAGTGCATTGTGGGAAATTTCTAAAACTACTTTTTCATCCACTAAATGATCAGACAGTCTTTTGAAATGGCGTAACCACTATATACTACCTTATATAGTGGTTAGGGCAGACTTCCTCACACGGACATTGTTTCCTTTTTTTCGAAGTACTCTGCTCTTCGTTCAGGATCAGCATACCTCCACTCACTGTAAAGAAGCTGCTTCCCAGTTAATTCATCTAACAATACAACTTTTGTTTTCTTTTATGAAAGAAAAAAAAACTCAATTAAAAATTTATCCACATGTCTAGAGTCACTGCTACTGTTGATTGTCACTGGCGCAACACTAGTGACAGCTTTAAAGAAAATCTATTTAACAAAATGGTCTCTACCTAAGCATGAAATAACATGTTCTTCTGTTATAATCTAGTTAATAAATTATGTAAATTAATTAATTAACTATTAAAATAAAACTATTTTGATAAAACCGTAATCAATCATCAATTTATGTAGACATTAGTACTTGTAAATATCAATTTTATGCAGAATGATTATTGATAAAAGTTAGTAAGTAATGATGACAATGGAAAAGATGTTCACCCCAAACTCAAACCTAAAAAATTTTTTATCCACTATACCTTTTATTTATTTTATTCATATTTATTTTATTTTGAATACATTTGTCTATTTGTTAGCAAAGGCTGTGGGAAAGTATAGTTTTTCTTTATTTAGAAAATATGGATGTTTTGCTTAAAGGTACACTATGCAACCGGTGTTGATTTTCCAGGGAGGCTCCCCCCAGAGGGCGAAAGTAAAAGTGCACTGTCGTAAATATGCACAGCTGTTCTCCTGGTTTCTCCGTCAAGCCAGGTGCGGTTGTTTTGAGCTTAGCAGCGAATGACTAACGCTGCATTCACACTGGACGTAGCTGGCGCGACAGAAGCAGCGAGTTTACATGCAAAGTCAATGGTTGACGCGCGTCAAGGCGCAGCAAAAGGTCCCGCGGCGCGTTTTGAGCACCAGGCGCAGCACGTCTGAGCAGCTGAAGCAGCGCGTCGGGTGCGTTTAACGCAGGGAGAGAGACACAGCGCTGATGATCACTCCTCTTAAACAGTTTATTGACGCCTAAATTAACTTAAAATGCAGAAATCTGCCGGCAGAATATGCAGTTTGGATTATTTAGATGAAAAACACCTACCAGCTGCCGCGGTGAACCGCTGCTGATGAAGGGATCCATACTGTCGGCGCACCGCTGGTATGTGGGGGTCTGAGCGGCTCCGATCGAAATAATATTGAAGGCAGGATAATAATCTGAATGAACTGACTGCACTGATTACGTTTTCAGGTGTATTTTCTCACTTAAACACATATTAAAACTACTTTATTCCCACTGATCACAGCAAATATAGCTGCAAGGCAGAGAAAGGATAGTGAAGCTCCGCCCAACGCGCCTCAGACACACTTTTGCAGCCAGAGCAGCAAAGCTGCTTCAGCCGCTCGTCAGAACTAACTGGTACAAGCAGCAAAAAGGAAGCAGCAGATGCGATTTTGCTGCTTTTGCTGCGTGAACGTAGCATAACTGCACAAAGATCGCCACTGTGCTAGCAACGAGAATGCTTTTAACTGGGGGGTGTAGCAGTTCTCGCCGTAAAGCAAGACTGACTCTCACGAGACTTCTGAGCCTGTGGGTGCGGGTCGGTGCTCCTGCAGTTGCAAGTGCGGTATTTCCCCCACAGACCACCAGGGCGGCCGAGAATACCTTTGTTCAACCTGAAATGACTCATTTAGTCATCCATAACGTTATGGAACACATTAATTAACTGAAAAATGTTGCATAGTGTCCCTTTAATTTTGCTGTTGGAACAGATGTCTATCCACTTTCGGCCACCCTTCAGTGTACATTGGTCATTGCCTGCCCACCCTTATAAAGAATTTCTGGCTACGCCTCTGTATAGAACTACAGTAAAAAATACAATACAGCAACACCTTATAAAATAATAATAATTTAACTTTATAGATCTCAAATTGGCAACATTTATCTCTGCATTTAACCCATCCCTGAGGCTGTGGGAATCAAATTGGGTACTAGCAACCTTCCCACAGCACAATTGCATTGCTCTAACCACAAGGCCAACGCTACCCTTGATACCTGATCACTGAAGTATATACAGTATCAATCAATACGAAATGCATAAAGTGGTAATTGAAGATAAAAATTGGTGAGTATGTTAGTAACCAGATC